AACCTGGGCTAGTGGAAGGTGTCCCTGCCTGTGGCAGGGGGTTGGAACAAGATGAGCTTTTAGGTTCCCAAACCATTCTGTGATTCTATGATCAAACAGTATCCTCAAGTGTGTCTCTTTTCTGCCCCAGGAACCTCTGGAAGGAACCCTCAGCCTTCAACCCTGAGCGGTTCCTCAACCCTGCGGGGACGGAGATAAACAGGACAGAGAGTGACAAGGTGTTGTCTTTTGGCCTGGGGAAGAGGCGATGCATCGGGGAGACCATCGGCCGCTGGGAGATCTTCCTCTTCCTGACCACCCTGCTGCAGCAGCTGGAGTTCAGCCTCCGCCCCGGGGAGGAGGTGGACATCACCCCTCAGTACGGACTGACCATGAAGTACAAGAAGTGCGAATGCTTCCAGATCAAGCAGCGTTTTCCCATGAAAAGCTCTCCATAAGCCACCAGAAGAAGGAAAGCCAGCCCTCAGCGTCAGACAGCCTGCTTTTGCTAAAGGCACAGCCCCTTGTTGTGTTGCTTCGCTGGAGGCTTGCTCCTCTCATGGGGACGGGAGCAGGGTGGGACAAAGCCGGCTTTGTAGGGCTCTTTGCAGCGCCTGGAGCCAGCTCCATCACCCTTCCCCGCATGGATGTTCACCAGAGGTCCAGCACTCATGCCTCTTGGAGAGATCCAGGGGGATTGCAGCCCTGCTTGGGGGTGGGAGAATCAGGGTGGGAGGTTGGTGGGGTGTCCTCTGCCCTGAGCTGGAGCTGCGATGGACAACTCCCTTCATCCAAATACAAATAAACCTCAGAGAAACCTGACCAGACTTATCTCACAGGGGGAAAGCCTGTTTCCCAAAGCCTTCAGCTCTTTGTGCCAATGGGAATGGGTGCTTCCCGCTGCTCCAGGTGCCTTCTGAAGGGCTCTCAAGGCTGCACCAGAACGCATTTGAAGAGGACCTGTCCTGTGTGCACCCACCCACCTAAATTCCTTGAATGTTAACTAATAGAGTGAATTCCTGAGTGTTTTTACCAATCCTTGGTGGCAGACTACTAGGAAAAATAAATATGTCCATAAGCAATGCTGCTCATAAATTGAGATATTAACTGAACTCCTAACACAAAGCCTGGAAAATATCAAGGGACTGGGAAGAAGGGACAGGAAGGACAGAGGAACAGTAGGACACTTCTGGCTTTCAGACTAACTCTGTATTTGCTGCTTTTTTAATTAATAGGTTTTTTCTTATCAAGCAATAGATTTCTATATCCAGACTAATTAAAGGAACAAGGATTTGAGGACTGCAGAAGGTGCCTTATGCTGCATTCCGCTTTAGCCAGTGGGAAGGTGAAGCCTTATGGCAAACAGAGCAGCAATTCCTGCTTGTTTGTACTTGTATGGAATGCAGCTGTGTGCTGTGATAGAAACCACACAATATTTCTAACCCAATAAATACTTATCTGAAAGTTTCTTAAGTTTCTTGCTGGTCTTATTCCACTGGGAAATGATTTTTAGGGCAAAAAACCACCCCACACCTCTCTATCATCCTTAAAAATCTGACTAGATGTTTTGCATCAGGTTTTTTTCCTATGAGACATGAGTGGGCTGGACACCAGTGGCATTGGGGGAAGATTTTAGTCCCCATGGGAGCTGACTCTGGTCCTCCTGCTGTCTAAAGTCTCAGCTGGGATTTGCAGAGAGGTGATGCCAAGCTCTGTATCAGTTCAGGATTTCACTAAAAATCAGGACTAGCCTTTCTAGCCCCGAAAAAAAAAATGGAATCAATAGGTCAGAACCAGCCTTTCAGGGAGCAATCCACAGAGGGATGTTTCATGCCATCACCTGCTCTGCTTGTCCCCATCTCGGAGCACAGTTAAATCTGAAGCTTTGCATAATTTCCCTTAAAACAAACAAAAAAGGCAATAAACACTAAATTCCCATAATGAGTAGGTGGAAAATTGGGGTCTGTGCATCCCTGAAGCGGCATCCCTGCAGGGATCAGCCCACTGGGGTTTCCAGCCTTGTTGGACCACAGAATTATTTTTAATTTTGGTGTTGAGGTATGGAAAGCTGCTCTGTAGCAGAGGAGCCTTCCTCCTGTGATCTCGCTCACCTCCGTGTTATTGTTACTGGCTGCTGTCAGAATGATTTTGTTCTTAATTAGTGTCCCCGGCCCAGCCTGTGTTTAGCCACCGGCACACGGATCCAGCACTCCACCCGCTCCTTCCTCCCAGTAATGAGCAAAACAGCCTCCAGCTGTGGAGCGGGGAAAGCTCGTGCTAATGCAGCCGAGGAGAGAGGGGGAGATGAATGTGTCTGTGTCTCTGCTGGTGAGCCAGAGGGAGGGGATGGAGGGAATGGAGGTGTGATGGAAGGGGTGGAGGGGATGAAGATGATGGAGGTGGAATGGAGGTGTGGCAGAGGTGATTCAGGTGTGAGGGAGGGGATGAAGGGGATGGAGATGACAGAGGTGATAGAGGGAATGGAGGGGATGGAAAGGTGACAGAGGGGATGGAGGTGTGATGGAGGGAATGGAAAGGGGACAGAGGGGATGGAAGTGTGATGGAGGGGATGGAAAAGTGGCATAGGGGATGGACGTGTGATGGAGGGGATGGAAAGGTGACAGAGGGGATGGAGGTGTGATGGAGGGGATGGAAAGGTGACAGAGGGGATGGAGGTGTGACAGGTGATGGAAAACATTTAGCAGCAGTGATGGAGACACGACAGAGGACATGCAGTAGCAGCAGGAATACATATGTGAAGGGCGTGATGAGGGTGGGACAGCGGACATGTGACAGCTGCGATGGAGCGGTGACAGAGCTCACAGAGGCGACGGAGGTGCGATGGAGATGGTGGGGACATGCCGACAGCCATGGAGGGGCGGGGGGATGCGTGACAACGGTGTCAGCGGGGCATGGGGAGGCGGGACGGAGACGGCGGGTGTGTGGCAGAGGTGACAGAGGTGACAGAGGTGACAGAGGTTGCAAAGGGCTCAGGAGAGCTCGCCCGCGCCGCGGGAGCGCGGGCACTGCGCATGCGCCCGCCGGCGCCCCGCTCCTCTCTATGGTCCCGCCGGGCGGCCGGAACGCGCCGCCGCGAGGGCGGTGCCGGACAGGGGCGGCAGCCGAGCGTCGCCGGGCGAGCGGGCCTGTGAGCGGGAGCGCGACGGAGGGTGAGGGGCAGCACGCGGGGCGGCAGCGGGACGGGAACACCCGGCCCGCCACGCCAGGTGTTCGGCGGGAAGGCGGGCTGGGGTGCGACGCGGACCTTCCGAGGGGCTGGGCCTCGTGAGCGCGCTGGGGTGCCAGGCCTGGCCGGCCTTGCTCGGGCCGTGGTGGGAGGCTGGCCGGGGCAGCCAAGGGGCGGAAGGCCTGCGGGGCGCCTGTGCTCAGCTGTGGGGGCCCCTCTGCTTGTCTGTGGGGGGCCCCGTGTTAGCCTGTGGGGGGGAGGGCTCGTGTTTACTTTTGGGGGGGCCCTTGTGTTTACCTATGGGGAACCCTTTGTTTACCTGTGGAGAGGGTCCCTGTGTTTACCTATGGGGAACTCTGTGTTTTCCTATGGGGATCAGGGCAGCCCACCCCCATCCAGCCCTGGAATAGTTTAGTTTATATTTGCACTCAAACATAGAATTTTTTTTTTTTTGCTAAAAGGAGGGTCTTATTTTTAGAAAGGATCTGTGTAAGGTGATGACGTGTGCTGAACTCTTTCCCTTATTTCCTAAGGGGCATTAAAAAAAAAAAAAACAAAACAGGAGAGGAAATGAAATTTTAGTTTTGCTACAGGTTCTCAGGGATGTGTTATCTGTTTTGAGAGTGCTTTTTATCAGCCATCACCTTGGGATGCAGACATTGTCATCATGGGTTAATATAAATACACAGAATGGGAAGGAAAGGAGGCTGGTCCTGATGAATTTATGGCTTAGTGACCAAATTCAGTGTTTTCTGCCCTTTGAAGCATCCCTTGTTTTCAGTCCTATGAAAGTTGGGGGAGGTCCAATCCAGAGATTTTTGTTTTCCTTGCATCTTTTCCCAAGAAGCTCAGCACAGGAAAGGCTTGAAGAGAATTCAAATGCCTCTCCCAGGAATGTGATTTGTATGTTGATGTTGATCTCTGTGCGTTATCTGCCGTGTTTCTTAGAGTAAATATCAAACATATTCTCCCTCTTTGATTACAGCATGAAAGGCAAATCTATACATTTAGGAGCTTGTCATCTCTCTTGCTCTCTGGTGATGCTAGTGAGCCTGTCACCTCCCTGTGTTCTGAGGAAATCTCAGATCAAAGGATGTGTTTAGCTGCTTCCAGGTGTGTTGGGGCTGCACATCTGACTAAACAAATTTGATGTTTTTGTCCCTGATTCTGGTGCTGGAAAGCAGAGCAACTTTTTTTTTTTTTTTCCCCTCTCATTTATTTAATTGTGGCAGTGACACTAATAATCCAGGCTCTGCAGAGCATGGAGACTTTTGTCCTGGACTCCAGTGTTTGGGATTTTCCCTCCTTCTGTGTCTCTCTGTTCCCTTAAAGGTTTTGGTTTTCACTTGCACGTGCAGAGATCAGTTATCTCACTGTGATTGTTCACAGAAGGTGTTCTGCCCCGCTGTTCATATGCCAAAATTTTAAACAGGGAAGTGAAGATAAATTCCCTTTTTGAACTCACAGGGAGAATGTCCACAGGCAAGACTAAATACTCTTGGAATCTGTAAATCCTGAAATCAGTTAGTCAGACATCTGTGTTATCGTCACAAAGCCCCTCCAGGCATCTTCCCTCTCCCTGGGATCGTTGGTGTCCATAGGGATGCTGTTTTCTCCCTGCAAAGGCAGGAAAAGCTGGCAGAGCCAGAGCCTGGGTGCGAGCCGGGGTTACGGGCCGGGGGATGCGGCTGATGCTAACTCAGGTTGTCACTTTTCTGCCTCTTCTTACAGGCTGGGCTGTGTCTCTTTACAGCAACTGTGTGCCAGAAATATGGCTACAGACTGGCTTGGGAGCATTGTGTCAATTAACTGTGGAGAAAGCTTGGGAGTCTACCAAGGAAGAGTGTCGGCTGTGGATCAGGTCAGCCAGACCATTTCCCTGACACGGCCCTTCCATAACGGGGTCAAATGCCTCGTGCCAGAAGTCACCTTCAGGTTAGTGTCTGTCTCTTTTTTCCCCCTGCCTTTTTCCAGGCAAGGTCTGTTGTGGTTTGGATGTTTTGTTTTTTTTTTTCCACCTAGAAATGACCTCTTTGGCCTAAATTTCCTTACTGCTACTGAGTGCCTCTCAGGTTTGTGTTAGTTTGTGTCAGGAGATTAGTTCCTGGCTCACATTCTAGAGTGAGCCAGGCTTGGAGGTTATTTGTGGGTGAGATTCTGTGTGTATATATGTACACCTTTCTTTATTATTGTATGTGTTCTTTCTGTTGTTGTTAAGGTTTTGGGTAACTGAGGAGGATGACCTGCTTTTCAAAGCTTTGCCCTCAGCAGTTCTTTCCCACCAGTTCCTGGTAACACCATGCTTAAAAGGCATAAATAAGAGTCACTCATCACTGGATGTTTTCCTGTTCCCTGGAATGTTTAGTTAAGACTCTGAGTCACTGACTTTTCAATAAGATTAATTCCACAAAGTCAATACTTTTTTTCCTTGGGTTTTGAGGAGAGAGAGTGGGAGAAAAGCAATAACTACATCCTTCCAGGAGATGTGTGGAAGTCTGTCTATTTTTATATCCCACTTGGATAAATACTAAGTTAAAACTAGACTTTCTGATGTATTTCTTGCAATCAATGCAAATGGAGATCTTTATAATCACTTCTTTGTTTCCTTTTGGCTTGTGCCCAGTGCTAGATAAGTTTTCTTTATAATATTTTTCTGTGGAAATGGGAAGCACCATCTTTATCTGAGCATGAACTGCACTAATCTGAGGGTGGCATTCTGTAGAAATGGATTAAAAGTAATAGAAGCCTCAAGGCTGAGAGTAATTAATTATCTAGAAAGTGTTAAATTAATGCAGATTTTTGCAGAGGTCTGGGCCAGTTGCTTCCAGTTTTTGCTTGACTGATTCCTGTTTCAGCTGAGAACAGAACCTTTCAAACAAAATCCAGATGCAGTATAGAAGTACTGAAATGGTTATTTGTTATTTTTGTTTAGTATTTTGATGTCTGTGGAAATATCCCGTGTGTTTCAGTATTAAAATCCTTTTATTCCCTTGTTTCTGTTGATAATGGCATCAGAACAATCCCACCATACAATGCTGGATGTTTTTCTTTAGGAGTTTTTTTTTTTTGCAAAGGTACCTGGAGTGCTACATTCCTGAACGTCTGCTTTTCTTGTCCTGTTTTTAGGGCAGGTGACATTACTGAGCTGAAGATTCTGGAGATCCCAGGGCCAGGGGACAGCAGAAAATGTGGGGATCTGCAGCAGATGGAAACAGGCATCCCTGGGGTTGGGTGCCAGGTGGGGCCCAGTCAGAACGGCACCGGGAAAGTGTTAAAGAAGCCCATCTCCAGCAGTGCTCCACAGAATATCCCAAGGAGAACAGACATGAAGAATCAGGATATTATCATCTCTCCACAGCAGCAGTGCTCCAAGAGCTACATGGATCGACACCTGGAAGCGCTGACTCAATCCAAAAGCTTCCGTCGCAGGCACAATTCCTGTGAGTCTGTGTGTTATCCTGCTACTTTCCTTTTTACCTGCCTGAGTTACTGCTGCAACATCTTCCCTTCTTCAGCAAGAACTTTGCAAACAGGGCTGGAAATTTTCCCTGACTCACCCTGTGTGTTATTCTGAAATAGAGTGTATTTCTACATACATAAAAAATGTCTGATGCTAATTCAAAGATTTCCCCATTCTTGCTGTCTTTCCTGTTTGAAAATTGCACTGTTTCCAGGCTCTTCTTTTTCTTTAAAAGGAACTGGAAACAAAACTATCAAGCTTTTCTATTTAAAGCCTGATTACCCATAACCTATTACAACATCACCCTATACATAATTACAAATGTTTTTTTTGCTGTGCTGTTGAAAATACAAATTAATGAGGATGATCCCAAAGTCAAACATCTTTTATTCTTGTTTCTCTTGATAAAAATCTTCAAAATTGGGCCCAAACTGGGTTTTTCAATTTTTTTTTAATCAAAGATCCTGCTTTCCAGATCTTCATCATCCAGTTATTGAAATGTCAGTATATATCAAGCATATTTCCATGACTTAATTGTTGAAGCATCAGTGTGTATCCAGTGTATTTCCATGACTTCAATTTCCCCCCTTCCCCCTTGTATTTAGGAAAGAAACAAAACCGAGGTGGGGTGGGTGAGTTAAAGAGGTCAAAGGCTGTATTTTTATGGAGAAGTTCCTAGACCTCTGGAAGTCTTTCTCCCCCACCAGCAGCTGGATTATTTTCACCCCTTCCAGGGTGTCCAGGGGGAGCAGAGAGTGCTTCAGCCCACAAATACCTTGTGTTGGGTTTGCATAAGCACAACAACAGGTCACATTTTATTTTGCAGACTTTGAAACAAGTTGAGCAAGGTCCTAGCTGTAGATTGTTAGCTTGTATTCCTTTTGGAATAAAGGAGGTAGAGAAATGATCTCTTACCCTCTAAAACGTGTGTATTTGGAGGGTAGGGTGAGTGATGCATGAGTGTTGGGAGGGGGATGGGGATGGTCCTGGCTTTGTGGAGACTGTGGGTGCAGGTTTCTGGGGAAGAATGGGCTGACGTGTCATGCAGAACTTCAGTCATACAGGGCTTAATACAGCTGAAAGTTGACCTCTCGTTGGCCTTTAGCGTGCCGAGCCAGGGACAGAATTCCCCCTTTGGAGTACTTGTGTGACAGGAATCAATAAACAACAAATACCAACGCAGATTTCCCAACAATGGCTCTGGTGCCGTGCTGGCACCAGGCTCGTTGTGCCAGGGCTGGCGGGAAGAGCTCCCTCAGGGATCCTGCAGGAACACAGCCAGCTTGCTGGAGACTTTACATTTGCTTGTGTGCTATACTTGAAAAGTTTGATTTTTTTTTTTTCCTTAGAAACAAAAAAAGCCCAGGAAGGGTTGTTTATCTTTTGAGGGAGGTGCTTTTCTGTGTGGTGCAGAGCTGCCAGCTTGCTGTGGAGCCGTGTGCTGCTCTCCTTAGTAAGCTTCATTCAGGGCAGAGGCTCTGGAAGCTGTGATCTGAAAGGAGCTGGACTAGGAGATCTGGCTTTCTGTAGCCTGACTTTTCCCTTTCCTCCCCTTGCTCTTTTTCTTGGCTCTTTTCTTTTCCCTGAGTGCCACCAGGTGCCTGATTTTCCCGTCTAAAAGATGATGCTTTAAGGGGAGGACTCTTACTGTGGTCACAGCTTGTTCCCCTGCCACATTCTGTGCAACTTCTGTTGGGATATTGCAAGGCAGTCAGTAAAAAGCCATCTGGCTGTGTGGGTCGGCAGTATTCCAGAGCTGGCATCCATCGGTGTGGATTAGGGAGCTGCCCACCACAAAGCCAGCATGTTTTGATGTGGTACGCTCTTGGCTCCCATTCATTGTGGCTGCAGGGGAGTCCAGGGAGCTTTCCAGCCATTGTTCTCCCAGCCTTGCTGGTGCAGCCCTTTATTCCATTGGCATTTACACAGTGCTAACATCAGCTGCTCCTGTCCCCACATTGTGCTTTCCAGGTCAGCTGAGGGAAGCGTGGAGTTGTCTGCAGAGGAATCTGGCAAGGAGTGTAACAGGATCAACCTGAGTTGCCCTAACCCTTGGTGCTGACACAAGAAGCAGGCATGTTTTGCCCTTGTGGCATTGTAGGCTCTGGCTTATTCTAGAGTCCCTTGGCTATTGCTTTGACCTGCAGTTTCTGAGTTTTGAGGGAACTTGTTTTGCTGTGTTTTCATTTCTCATTTTCATTCTTCATAGCAGCAACAGCAGATGTGATTCTGTTGTCAGCAGTGTCAGTTTATAGCTCCATACCAAGTTGTGTCCAGCTTTGGAGTGGTTTATGTGTCACCTTTGGTTTGGGAACTCTTTATCTAGGACAGATGGGAAGTTGTTATTGAAAAGCTTTCAAAACTATGCACGTAAATGAGTGGTTGCAGTGTGCCTACTGGAATTCTACTTGCCAGAAAGCCTTACCCTTTCCCCTCTCCTAAATCATGTTTTGTCACCAGCAATTCTAGAATTCTGCTGTCTGTCCTTCAGTGACAAAAGGTGTATTGTAGTCTCTCCTCGCTGAAGAAGGGTGTTTTGGGTATTTTTCTTTACGAGGAATGATGACTGACTGCAAAGCCTTGAAGATTTGGGGTCTTGCTGTGGGGTCTGGAAAAGCTTTCAGGTTAGTCACTGTAACAGTTCTCTAGAAAAACCAAGTCACACACTGTCTAAAATACAGGAAAAATCCCTAACTAGCATTCCTAGCTAGGAATAAAAGTACATATTCTTAGCTGACTTGCATGGCGTAAGTTAGATGTGTTTAAGCTGGACTTGTCTGCACCTAGAAAGGAGACAGGTAACTTGAAGGTTGCTTGTGGAGTTTGTGCCTGTTGCATTGCAGATCTTTTGGGATGTTTTCTGAGTCTCCTTAGATGACTTAACGTTGTTTGTTTCTGTGTTATCAAATGGATTATCTCACACTCATTTGTATAAATCCCTCACAAAAGTAATCATGTTAAACAACTAGAAATATTTCAGTAGAGTAAGCAGTTTTTGCTTGATAACTTACTCCATCTGTTGGACACTGTTGGTGATTCCTGTAATTGCAGGAATTGGCCTAAAATATTTTGTAGTAATTGCAAATTTACCACTAGGAATGACAGACATATTAATATTGTCTAGACTTGAACAATAATGTAAGAAATAAGCAAGTAAAGGGATATGTTGACCTTGTAATTGCATATTTCTATCAGTCGATCTCCAGCCATAAGCAGGAGACTTTCATCAGTCTCACTCCAGAGAATTTGGGCTTTCCCAATGACTTGTGGTTGGAAAGAAGTGTACCTCAACATGAAAGGTGATGAATAAGTAGGATAACAAAACAGGAATGAGGGAATGGACTATGCAATTCAGAAATGATAGCAAGGGTGAGGAAAAAGAGATCCTTTATATTCACAGTTTGAAGTTCTCCCTTAAAGATCATTAATGTGAAATAAAACACACTAGTTTCTGAAGTTGAGAGAAATTCCAAGGAAGATCTTGGGCCACACACCTGGATTAACATGAGCTCAGTATAGGAGGAAAACTTGTAGATTACAGTTAGTTTATTATCTTGCCACCCATGTGATACTGCCTGGGATTAAATAGAACATGGAGAAACACTTCTGCTACTGTGGTGAAGCTTGTTTTTCTAACCTTGCTGGTAGAAAGTCCCTGAAAGTTCCTTTCCTGATGCTCTTGTTCTGTTTTCCGCTGGCTTAGCTGAGCATGAGTAATGCCAGGGATGAGGTCGACGGCTTCTTGTGGAAGCGAGTATCCCTGGAGGGCGGGGACTGTAAGCTTTAGCTCCCCTCTCTCACAAAATTCCTGAGAAAGTGGCTTTTTCCATTTGTGACACACTTACAACCTGCCTTTCTTTTCTTTCAGGGTCATCCAGTAGCCGTCATCCGAACCAAGTGACTCCGAAGAAGAGCGGCCTGAAGAACGGGCAGATGAAGAGCAAGGACGACGAGTGCTTTGGGGACGACATCGACGAAATCCCAGACACTGATTTTGATTTCGAAGGGAACCTGGCCCTTTTTGACAAGGCAGCTGTGTTTGAAGAGATTGAAACTTATGAGAGGAGGAGTGGCACCCGTTCCCGGGGCACCCCCAGCGAGAAACCAGCTCGCTATCGGCACGACGAGAACATCTTGGAATCGGAGCCCATAGTCTACAGAAGGATTGTGGTACCTCAGAACGCTAACAAAGAATTCTGCACGGGTATGCCACGTCCCTTACTGATAAGGACCCAAACTCCTGCTTTTTTGGGACACACAGGGTGGATTTTTTTCTCCAAGGGGTGTCTGTCAGCTTAATGCGGTACAAGCAAGGGCATTTGTTCACGTGAGGTTGGATTTGTGTATCTACATACAGCCTTTATTTACAATATTTCTGAGGTAACAGATATTCAGGTAGGGCAGCAAGGTAAGTGTTTTCACAGTAGGGAACAAAACTGATGGTTGGATAACAGGAGTGGGAACTGTAGGAGAGGTGTTCAAATCCTTGCTTTGACTTCAGTAGCCTGGTGAACCACCATGGACTCGTCTGCTGGCTCTGGAGAGTGACAGAGGGATGGTCTCAGACTTTGTGCTTTCATGTTTAAAGGCAGGAGATTTCATGTGCTTCTGATACTCTTTGGGTCGTAGTTCTAACTTTCTGCATAGCTGTAAATACAGTTCCAGAAACACTTCTGGCTCTTCCCATCCATAATTCCAAACATTCTTTGTACAAAAGGCTTTTTATGTGAGGTCTTCCCCCCCCACTTACTGTCCACTGCTACTGTATGAAAGATTGAACCCTGGAAGGCTGGTCTTTGTTGTAAAAGGAAAGAAGACCTTCTAGGCAGGTACTTGAGTTGAAATATTCCAGTGTATCATCGGGGGAAATTAGTTTGACTCACTGGTGCCAGCTGCTGTGCAGATGTTTTCCTGCAACTCCGATTTCTGGTCCTTGCTGCCACCAAGTCAGCTCTTGGATGGAGGAGAGGGAAGTGGGGTGAGTCAGTGAGCAGTACTCCTCAGTCAAAACGTAGGGAATGATTAATCAGCTCCTAATCCTTGGCTCTGGGGAAAGTAAGAGTTCTTATTTCGTATTCAGTAGAATTTTTTTGGCCAAACACCGGATAATGGTAATTTCACAAGGAGCCACTTATGGATGTGAATAGATTTTACTATGACAAATCTTTTTATTTCTATCCACACACAAGCTATCAAGTATAGCAGATGTGCTTTGTGCCACATTTAGCTCCTCGTAACTTAAGCCTAATTGGGATGTCTTGCCTTCGGTTTTTAGCTTGCAAAATGTAGGAGTAAAGGGAAGTTGGCATTCCAGGAACATTTCTTTTCCACATCAAAATAAAATCGAATTTCAGATCTTTTTGCAGATTCACAAACCAGCTGATATCCCAGTGGTCTGAGCAGAAGTGTGAGGAGGCCCTTGGTCTGTCATTCTTTCCCTGCCCAGAAACTCCATCTGGGGTGTGAAACCCTTCAGGGAAGGAAGCTGATGGATTTGTGGTGATTTGCTGCTTTTCAGTTTTAGAAAGTATGCTTTTTTAATGGTTCTGGTATATAACAGTATCCTAGTTTTCCATTTGTGTCATCCCTCTTCCTGTTGCTCCATTCTGGTCTCGAGTGAGAGGAAAACATAGTGGGTCCTAGCAGAACTGTCCAGCTCAGTGTTGTGTTTCCAAGGATCCTTAAGGAAAAGGGAAAGAAACATGCAGTGAGACTTTTCCCTGCTGCTTTGTCTTCCACAATTCTAATACTTCCTGAGGCAGCAGAGAGAGTTCAGTATTAAGGGCTTTTTTTCTGCTTAATTTAACCTCTTACTTTTTAAATCTCTGCAAGCTTTCAGCACCTCTCTGTTGCAAGAAGCTGCACCAATGGCCTGTGTGCTGTGTGAATAAGTACCTCTTCATTTTGTATGTGATTTCCTATTTGTTTGGTGTTTTTTTGTGGTTTTCTTTTTTTTTTTAACATTTCCTACTTGTCAATCCATCTTCCAGCTGGCTTGTTTGAGAGGAGACAGGGCCTCTGTAGGTGTCTAGTCTGAAACAAAAGCTAAGCCACTGTTGGCAGCCAATCTGAGCAGAATGGCTGATACGGGATTCTAGCAGTAGAATTCCTGAGAGGAAAACCACCATACAATAGGCAGCAGTAAGTAAATTGAGGGATAAAAACTAAATCCTCTTTGCTGAACTCCATCATCCTTTCCTCTGGAACTCCTGGCTGCCCGTCTGCAGCGTGCTGAGGGGAGCAGCCCAGTGAAAGGAGGAGTGTCTTGTTTTGCTCTTGGCAGGGCTGCCCAGGGAGGGTGGTCAGCGACTCCACTTGGTCACTGCAGGGTCTCACTGACCTCATTAGCCACTGTTGGCTGATTAGTCTCCCCTCTAGAATTCTGGATTTGTTTGGAAGAAAAGCTGGCCTGTCACACGACAGGCAGTGGCCTGTCGCCTGCGCTGAGCTGAGCACGTTCACAGTCCCATGAACGGTGATAGAAGTGTCCCAGTGCTGTGTCTCGGGATATTTTTTCCCACAGAGGATGACTTCCTTTGTGTCCACTGAGGAAGTTTACTTTTGCTTAGGGAATACTAATGGCCATCTAGCAAAAGCTCTTGTAAACAGTGGTAACGTGCCTGCTGTTTCTGGCAGTCAGTCGAGTGCTTTTTGTAGCAAGGCAACCCTCAGAGGGACAGTCTGCCTGGAGTAAGGATGGACTGTCTCCTGGAGAAAAAATAATCCCAATTTCTTTGTTTAGCAGCTGGGAGGAGGATGCTGAGCTGTAGGTAGCCTGCCTCTTAGTGGCTCAAAGAGCAGCTGCTGAAATTAGATGAGTGCCAAGAGCTCCAAAAGCATTTATTTTGGGTATGTCTGTGGCAGGAATTTGCCCTACAGAATTTTTTCTGGTTTCCTAAGGGAAGCTCTGCTTGCAAAAAAACACTTCCTAGTTATAGAAGAAAGAAGTGCTTTGTCATTTTTTTTTACCCTAGGCCAATCTGAAAAATGATTGTGTTAATAGAGCCCTGACTTAGACAGTGATTCTCTGTCTGCTGTAACAGCACAAACACTGGTGCTGTAGATTGACAGGGAGTTAATATCCAGCTCTTATCACTGTGGGACAGGAAGAAGTCTGTGAATCCCTGTGTGCTTTCTTTATGCCATGGAGCTAGGAAGTAACCAGGATGGTGCAGAGGGAAAAACAAACTGCTGAGGTCAGTTTCCCAAAAGACTCATCTGCAAGGCTTCCAGCCCGGGGTTTTATTACTGACTCAAATAAATTGGTATGTGTAGGATAAATGCTTCAGTCCACCAGGATGCTTTTCTGAGAGCTAATTTTTTGGAGCCAGGCTGTCAAGTAGGCACAACCATGTGTTTTAGAAGTAAGCAGGGAATATTTTCCAGGCAAAAGTGAAAACCTGAAGCTAATGTGGCTTACCAGGTCTTGGATCATGACTGAGCTGAGTCCCTCCCTGGGGCTCCACATGTGAATCCCTCCTAAATACACCAGTAGTCTTGACTCTTTTGGATGCTATTGATCCATCTGTTTACTGGGAAGTGTTTAACAAAAACTACCTCCCTGGAAAGGCCAATACTTGCAGGAGGTGTGAGCTGTCTTTTTCTACTTCCAGAGCTGTCCAGATGGAGAATTTAAATGCATGTTTGGCTTAGGTCTGTCTCTGTTCCTTCTGTTGGCACTAAAACAACCTGTGTTTGAACACCACTGTGTTTTGGGATCAGGTCTGTTAGCAAAGCCAACCAACATACTGCAGGAATGTTGTAGCTCAAAGGAGTTTGCAGAAGGGTGGAGAGTCCCAGTTCATCATCAGTGACTCTATACAGGGCAGTCTCCAGCATGCCAGGCTGTCCTCATGGTTCTCACATATGTGTTTATTATTCTCACATAAGGTGTTTATTATTTCCCTGCTGTACTGGTCAGGCTTTGTCCAAAGCAGGTTCTCCTCTAGTTAACACTGTTGGTGTAGAAAATACCCCATTTCCATCTCACGTCTCTTTTCTGGAAAATAAATGTGATTTTTTTAGACTCAGGTGCTGTCAAAGTTGTCAAGTAAAAGCAGGCCTGTGCTCAAAAAAAGGGGACTAAGTGTCATTATTTTTTTGTCCTCTCCTAACCAGACCTCAAGCCTGTCCTTCAGACAGCCTTTTTTCTTCACAATAAGGAGATGGCGAAAGAAAATATGGGCAGGCAGAACTTATGAGCCAGGATCAGACCTCAAAACTAAGGCTGGGCACGTCCAGTGAGGGTGATGCCAACAGTATGGCTTTTTCTTTGGTGTGCCATGTCCTTGACTGACTTTTCTACTCTCTGTAGCTTTTAGCTCTTCAGTATCTGGATGACTGCTTTGTGTATATTGAATGTGTGAAGTGTTCCTGGGATCTTTTGAGGAAAGTGCAAATGAAGTTTGCTTTATCCAACCGCCGGAAAAAAACAAAGTGCTCCCGGGGCAAAGTCCCTTTGTCCCTCTGATAGTTTTTTTGCTCAGCTGGAGTGAATTGTGCACTAATGCTGGGAGAGGCTGACACTGGAAGGTCAGCCAGAACTCCCGCAGAATTTGTCATAATTAAAAATAATGATGATTAATGAAAAGAAATCTAAACCTTAAAGTTGTGGAGAAAATCATTCGTGTTTGTGGGGCAACAGCTGTGTTTTGCTGAGTCTGCAGGCAGGTGATTCCAGCTTTACAACCAGCAAAGGACAGCACGAATGTCCCATCTGTCTGACGTGGACAAGAGTTACAGACCATGAGGTGTAAAACTGTCAGACCATAAGGCTCTGTAACCTGGAATTTATTATTGGAATTAATGGTGTTAGTACAGCTTTCAGGAGATCCTAAGTATAGTTCTATCTGATCTATTCCTGTATCTTGGCTGGATTTATTTTAGCAATGAACAAGAAATAGAAAATTTATTTTAGCAGAGAACTAGAGAACTGGGGAAATAGTCAAGAGAAAAAAAATAGGGCTTAACACCTTAACACTGAGCTTCTCTACCATCAACCCTCTCCTTTTTCCCTGCCCCTGCAAGCTTGGGAAGCATTTGGGCATCAGAGAATGATATTCAGGGCTTGTCTGGGAGAAAAACTCCAAATTCTTTAACATTTTGAGAGTTAGCTTGGTCCTTCTGCTGCCCTAGGGTGTTTTATCCATCCAGTGTGACTCTGCATGTCACAAAACTGTTTAGTTTATATCTGCCTTGTAGGTTTCTTTCCCAGGCAGCTGTAAAATACATTTATTTAATATTAAAAGGCCTGAGCTAATTTATTTTATTGCCTTCATTAACAAACAATAAAGATGCCCTGTCCAACCCAAACATAATTAAAGTTGGCACGGGTTCAGTTTTGTGGCAGTAGTGTTATTGTTTGTGGGTTTACACGTCGCCTCCTTGATTGCTCTCTGCCAGAGTTTATTTAACTCCCTGAGTCTGCTTTTGATAAGCCAGTCTGACTGGTTGGACCTTGCGTGAGGGCAAAGAAGGGAAGTTCTCTTGGCATGACAGCCTGCTCCTGAGAGGGAGCAATTAGGACAAACTGGCATGCTAAATGCTGCCTCCCAGTAACCCCCTTTGATTAACCCACTGGGCACTGGGTGGCATCTAGCTAATGGTGAATGCAGTTTTACTAAAGCTGGTCGCTGAGGGAAGGATGGGGATGGGTACAGAGAAGCTCCATACTAAATTGGGTCGATACAGAACATGGATCATCTGTTTTGTTGTCCTAATTTGGGGAGTTTGTGCAAAATTTAAGCAGGGAATTTGTGGGTGGCTCAGAAGGAGTAAAAATAGAGTTTGGGAGCTCGCTGTTTGGGGTTAGCAGGTGATGTGTCCCCCTAAACTGTTTGGGGAGATCCTGACCTTGGGTCAGTCATTCCAAATCTTCCCTCAAAATCTTGCCTTGAAAAATAAGATGAAGTAGGAAAACCGTGAATGGGAGCGGGGCAGAGCCAGGGCTGCGTGACTGCGGAGAGGGCGGGTGAGCACAGGGCAGGTGCATGACTGGAGTGACGGGCTCAGGGTTATTCATGGTTGTGAGTGTTCGGTGGCTGCTATCAGGAGTCTGGGATGGCTTTGATAATGTGCCTGCTTGCTTGGAACGAGAGCCTGGGAGCAGAGGTGACTTCATCGGCAATTAGCGTGCAAGGTCAACGGCTGCGACACGCTTGGGCCCTCACTATCTGCAAGGACTTCACCAGGGAGTCCAGGAATGAAGTCCAGGAGGACTCAGCAGTGTCTATTCCACAGCATTTTGCTGTGACCTTGCAGAAGCACCTCTGATTTGACTCTGAAAACCTCCAGATGTGCAAAAGCTCCCATTTCCGCCGTAGCTTGGCTTAGTGGTTGGTGACTGGGGCATCCGGGGAAATGTGGCAGTACACATTTAATTTCTCACAATTAAAATACATGCTGCATTTCTCATTTGAATGTGGCACTCGCTTGTTACAACTGGTTCTTGCTATGTTTTCTGTCTGCAGAGGAGCCCAAACCCACGAGTAACGGTTGGCTTTCCTCCCGGAGCGGATGTGTGGGCTGTGGCTGTTCCCCTCTGAGCTCGTAGTGCTGCAGAGTGTTTTCACTGTGCCATGTCACATTGCCACGGTTCTTTCCCATTAGCACAGGCAGTCCAAACCCAGTTGGGCTGCCATGAGCACCCGGGAGGCCTCTGTCACCTCCAGTTCAGATGTGGGAGTGGCTGGTGGGAGCGTGATGATGACCCAGGGCTGCTGGGTGGTGAAAACTGGAAAATGGAGAAGAGAGAAGCTGATGGAGGGATTGAGTTCATGCTTTGACCTGATGTTTGGCGTTGTGCCTGAGCTGTAGCAGGTGTCAGTTTGAGTCCTGGACCTTTTTGACCCATGGTGCCTAACTCCTGTGCACCTCATCTGCCTGTCCCAGAGTCGAAGCTGACAGCTGGACTCAGCTGGGATTCCTTGCTTAGCTTGGAATGATATGAAGAGAAGAGGCTGAGAGCTTTTCCTGCTGCAGCTGTGCTCCAGCTATGTGGCCATCCCATATGGGAAGGGAATTAATCTGTTCTGCTCCTTAGCTGGGAGATAGTTAAAGACATCCAGAACTTGCAGGATACTTGAAGGGAAGAATTGGGTGTGCTTCTGATTCCACGTAGTGGGAGTCCTCAAACGCAGAGCAAAGGAGTTGGAGATCAGAATTATTTTGGAGAAAAGTTAGAATAAAGAGGCTGATTGCTGTGGCTGAAGATATTCAAGGGTATGCTGTTTAAATCAGGTATTAGGAAAAAATTCTTCCCTGTGAGGCCCTGGAATAGGTTGCCCAGAGAAGCTGTGGCTGTACCATCCCTGGAAATTTTCAAGGCCAGGTCAGACAGGGCTTGGAGCAACCTGGTCTAGTGGGGGGTGTCCCTGCTTGTGGCAGGGGTGGAATAAGATGAGCTTTAAGGTCCCTTCCCACCCAAACCATTCCATGACTCTGATATCTGGCTGGGTGATGCAGCTGTTTCTCACCTGTTCCTCAGGTTTTGCATTCTCTCTCCAAACACCATCAGTAATTCTTTCCAGTTTTCTTGTCTTCTGCTATTCAATAACCACCAAAAAATCCCTGTGGCTCCCCTTGGCACAAGCTGCCTTTTGATGGCAAGTAATCCTCTGTGTTTATTTCCAGGAGAGTTTGCAGATGCTGTGGTGGGGTTCATTTATGTGTAATCAGTGCCAGCTTGGCCTGCTTCGAGCAGGGAAGTATAAAGAATCATCCCAAACAGTTACTCAGGGAGTGGGAAGGATGTATCCCTGACTACTTCAGGCGCTGTTCTCAGCACTTAACAAAACCTCTCTTCTTTGTTTTCCCTTGATCCACATGCTGGAGCATTTCCTGGCTTGGTAGGCCAGGCTGTCAGAAATGCCTGGGAATTATTTCTGCAGGGTTTGTTCTTTGATCATTTCCCTGCTGCTGTAGTGTGTCGTGATCCAGCTGTTGTGTCTGGAGCAGCCCTTCTGGCACGGAACAGCTCAGGGAATGCCTGCCTAGTAAATGTGGGATGACTTGTTTTGCTGTGATATGTGGGATTTTGGGGACCAACGTCAGGAAGCAAAGCACATCCAAGCTTTTTCTGATGGGAAATCTGCTTCACAGCTTCTCTTCTGACTTTCACAGTGCTCAGGAACACTTTATGTGTGGGTTAAAGCACTGGTGGCCTGGAAACCATTAAGAAAAAACTTAATATTCCATCTGTAAGTCACAAAAGCCTTCTCAGTGAATGTGTTGCTAAAATTGCCTGCTCAATTTTGTGGAAGCATGTTATTTTAAGCCCAGCAGTTGTGTTTAGCTGTCTCTGCTTCACTCAGAGTAGGCTGATGCACTAATTTGGATTCGTTTGATGGTCTCGGGAAGAATCTGGAATACTGGGGGAAGCAGACCCTTGGTAACAGCTAATAAGCTTTTTCACTGCCATTGTTTCTGTCTCTGATTGTCCCCATTTCTGTCCCCCTCCCCTCTTTTTGAACCCTAGACTCCGGGCTGGTGGTTCCAAGCGTGTCCTATGAGCTCCACAAAAAGCTGCTCTCGGTGGCAGAGAAGCACGGGCTGACTCTGGAGCGGAGGCTGGAGATGACGGGAGTGTGTGCCAGCCAGATGGCCCTAAGTCTCCTCGGGGGACCCAACAGGTAAATATTGTTCCACTAAAGGTGAGCTACAAGGCTGAGAGGTTTCCTCTAAGGTCACTGGCATTTGGGTGCCTGCTGCCAAAGGGCTTCTTTTTCGCTCCTGCATCCCGGGAGTGTCTCTTGACTCAAAGCAGAGGGAGATGAGATTTTTCTCTCCCCTTACTGGGAATTTTTTCAGGGAACTGAGCTTTGCACAGGTGTTACCTGAGGCAGATTAAGCCACTGCAGAATATCTAATGAGCTCCTCCTGTTTGCATGTAAATAAACCTTCCCTTTGTTGTTTTTACATGCTACGATTTAATGATATCAATAAAACCAGAAGACAGCTCATGAAAACCAAGTGCTGCTTAGCTTTTTGCAGGGCTAAATTAGCTTTTCAGGGATTTGCACCTCACCTGAGAGCATCCTGCTCTTTTGGAGGGCTGTTTGCAGCAGGTTTGGAGTGCACTTACTGCTTTTTGCATGAACAAACCTGCTGACTCTTTTGAAGAGCCTTCTCTGTGCCTGCACTTCCGTGGTCATTGATGTGGGTAGAAATTGCACCTGCGTTATGTTGTTGATAGCTGCTCCAAATTACTTGCTCTTGACATGAAAGTTAACCCTGAAACCCCCATCTGTTTATTCAGTAGTACTTTCTGAGGACCTGATCATTTGATGCAGAGCAGTAAGTGATGACATACAGGCAACACTGACCCTGTCAGCTGAAATTCCTGCTGTAAGCCCTGATGGCTTCCAGGCCAAATTAACTTTATTCTGCAGTTGATAATGCTTAGGGAGTAGAAATCATTTCTGTTTTTTTAATTGTGACTCTTCTGATGGGGAAACTCACCCCATATGTTTAAGGCTGGATAGTCAGCTTTCTTCTGCAGTCAGAGACCTTGGGACCTTGTGCTCTCAGCTGGAGGTGCAAGGAAGTCACGAAGGGAATGAGAAGACAAGGCTGTAGGAGCCTACCAGTATCTGAAGGGACCTACAAGGAAGCCAGGGAGGGACTCTTCATCAGGAACTGAAAGAGTGGAAATTTAGGTTAGATATACAGAAGAAATTCTTCTCTGTGAGGGTGATGAGGCCCTGGCACAGATTCCATCCCTGGAAGTGTTCAAGGCCAGGTTGGACGGGGCTTGGAGCAACATGGTCTAGTGGAAGGTGTCCCTGCCTGTGGCAGGGGGGTGGAACAAGATGATCTTAAAGGTCCCTGCAACCCAAACCAGTCTGTGATTCTATGAACCTGCAAGCAGAGCAGCTCTCTACTGTCAGCACCACGCAGGGATGTGGGTTCCTTCTTCACAGTGTCGTTGGAAGATTTGCAAAACACCTGGCAATTTGCATTTTACTGATTGGTGGTTTTTGTTTTTTGTTTTTTTTTTTAAATTCCTCATGCAGGAAGAAGGCAGGAGGCTTTTGGGTTTATCAACAGTCCCTTTTGTCTGTGTTTCAGGCTGAACCCCAAGAACGTGCACCAGCGGCCCACGGTAGCGCTGCTGTGCGGCCCCCACGTGAAGGGGGCCCAGGGGATCAGCTGCGGGCGGCACCTCTCCAACCACGACGTCCACGTCATCCTTTTCCTCCCCAACTTTGTCAAGATGCTGGAATCCATCACCAACGAGCTGAACCTTTTCAGCAAGACACAAGGCCAGCAGGTGTCCAGCGTCAAAGGTAAGCGGCCGAGGAGCAGATGGGTTCTCTGGCGCGTGGCTCCCTGGTGCCTGCCCGCTCCCCTGGCACCATCTAGTGGCACTGCCGCGGCTGGGTGGCTGCTCAGAGGCTGGAGGGACAGCAGGCTCTCCAACAGTGGAGCAGTTGTGCTGCTACAGATGTTTCTGGTCGGAACAAACATGGAAGAGCTGCTGTATTGATCTGAGTGAGAGCAGCCATTCTTGTAGGATAAGGGCCTACCTTGTTCAGCGTGTTGAAGCTGTGAATGAATGAGCATGCAGCTGCTGCTGCTAAACAGGAGGCAGCTTTGCTGAGCTAGTCCCAGCAGCTGTCAGAGTTCCTGTTTCAGTATTCCACAGAATAAACTGAGCCCCTGTGAGTGCCAGCTTCTGAGTGTCATTTCACCAGTTGTTTTTTCCAACCTGGTTCATTTAGACCTGGGAGAAACAGACCTGGGAATTAGGGCCAATCCTGGGCTGACAGAGCTACTTGCCTGTTACAAAACATTATAAAAGGTTTGAATGAATTTCCCAGAGAAGCTATGGCTTCCCCATCCCAGGTTGGACGGGGCTTGGAGCAACCCAGTCTAGCGGAAGGTGTGGCAGGGGGATGGAATGAGATGAACTTAAAGGTCCCTTCCAACCCAAACAGTTGCATGATTTTGCACCAAGGACTTTGTGGTCTGTCAGGTAAGGGCAATGCAGCAGATGGTGGGAATGCAGCAGATGTGATACAGAGCAGGTGAGTGCAGAGAGCTACAGAGCTTGGTGGGGCAGGCAGCAGTGCAGCACACCAGCTTCCTTTCCATAGCAGAGGTAGTTGGTATGTTCCAGAAAAACAGCCTTATCTTTCAGCTTGTGAAATAGAAAATGGTCCTTTTGTCACGGAAAGAGAGCACTACTGCTTCCCTGGGCTGCCTGGGCTGGTGAGCTCAGCAGTATTGGGACTGCTCACATGCTGACCACTCGATGTGATTTTTGTACCTGAGAGGCTGTGGGTGTTCCCAAAGTGTTAAAGAGCTGTTCAATATTGATGTTGGTATTTTTTGAGAAGGATGGCAATAACAGCTGGTAAGGCCAGACTGTGCAGCAAGACTGGATGCTGGGGGCAAACCCAAAAATCTTTTAGCAAAGCAAAGAGGGGAGACACCAATGAGCCTTCATGGTTTCAGCTTGTTCTCAGCGCTCAGCGGCGTTTGTGTTTCTTTCAGACCTCCCAGACACCCCCGTTGACCTAGTGATCAACTGCCTGGATTGTCACGAAAATGCCTTTTTGAGGGATCAGCCTTGGTACAAAGCAGTTGTGGACTGGGCCAACCAAAACCGGGCCCCCGTCCTCAGCATAGACCCCCCGATCAGCGAGATGGAGCTGGGCATCGACGCCAAGTGGTCGCTTGCCCTGGGCCTGCCCCTGCCCCTGGGCGAGCGCGCGGGCCGCGTGTACCTCTGTGACATTGGCATTCCCCAGAAGGTCTTTCAGGAAGTGGGAATAAACTACCACTCGCCCTTCGGCTGCAAATTCGTCATCCCCCTGCACTCCACTTAGAGCCCGTCCCGGCTCAGAAGGGAGAGAAGACGGGAGGAGGAGCTCTGTCACATAAGCTGTCCGGTGGGTCCTGGCTGGTAAACTCATGACGCCTTAAGGATGTGAAGTTCTGGAGAGCTTGCCTTCCAGAAGAAATGTTGTGTATTTAAAAAAAAACAAAAAATAGAATAATCATAAAATGAACCAAAAAAAAAAAAAAAAAAGAAGCGAATGTTCCTGCAAAACAGTTTTCATTCTCTTGTGCCATGGGATGAAGGAACGTGCAGGAAGATGGTGTCTGTCCCCGGCAAAGGTGGCTGTTGTGGCCCAGGCCCGGCTGGGAGGTGGTACACATAAGGGTAGTTTGGAGCTTTGAGATGTGTTTCTGGTCCTTCTGGTTGGATATTCCCAGCAAGGACATCCTGGTGGGAACAGTACCCCTTGGTTGTGTAGAAATCCCTTCTTTGAGGGAGAATCTGTTTTGGTTCCGGTATTCTTTTTGACTCCCCCTCCCATTTTGTGTTCTGGAAGGCAGGTGTAGCTTTCTCTCCCTCCCTCTCCAGGCCCTCATGGAGAGCATTCCCTCTTCAGAAAGCTTGTGTCAGGAGCCAGAGGCTCTCAGGTCACACATGTTCTGGGAACACTGATGTCCTCAGCTAGGCCTTACTGCTTATATACTGTTGGCTTTTCTTTGTTCACTTTGTGGGTGAAGCTCAGGCCTGTGGGCTTGAGGTGTGTTATGGAAAAGAACTTTTCCAGGATACTTGTGGGGTTTGGATTTGTTTCTTTTATTCTTTCTTCTTTTCTGGCACAGTGAGTGGCTGAACCAGGGAAAGGAGAGTGAAGCAGAGCAGTGTTGCTCTGGGTCTGTTGCACGGTGTATGGTGCAGGTGAAGTTTTGGGTAAGTTCCTACTGTGCTTCCAGTATCCCTCTTACATTTGGTAGGGCTTGGGAAGTAGCTCATGGATCCGTTCATACCCTTTGGAGTCAAAGGCTTCATGTAGGGTGGGCTTGTGGGTGTGTCTGTGCTGGGAGCCAGCCTGAGGAAGGACTTGGGTCCTGTTTGCTGGCAGGAAATGGTGTGGTGAGAACTGCTGCGGTCCTGGAGGGGTATGGCAGGGGGTTCTAGGCTGAATTTCCATAGGGAGTCTGTTTTAGTGGTGCACTGTCTTCCCGTGCACTGTTGGGAAGCACTGGGTTATTATTCCCTCTGTTCATTTTGCTGGCCCACTGGAGCCTTGGTGCAGTGCCTGGAGCAGGGATGAGCTGAGGAACCATTAGCTAGCTGGCTTTGGGAATCAGCTTAGTACTGGCATCTAGTGTGCCCCATGAGGGCTCTGTGCCTGGCAGCTGAGCCAGGGAAGCGCTGGAGATGCAGAAGGTGCTGTAAGGCCAAACTGTTCCTTTGGAGGAATCGGGCTGATGCCGTGAGTGTGGGCAGTGCTTGAAGCTCTGCTGCTCTTCTCATACCTTGTGTGTCCCCAGGGCTCCTGCAAGCGCCTAAACCTTGCACAGGCCCTGCTCTGGCATCTGGGAGAGCTTCAGACCTTCCAACGGTGCCTTTGTCCAGGGCAGCCAGATCCCTGTGGAGGCTGAAGCACAGGAACATGTGGGTCCAGTGCCTGGACCACACCAAAACTATGGACTCAATGTGCTCTGGTCTGACTTAGTCAGACACTCCTCTTTCTCTTTCCTCTGCTTGGAATAAAGGCAAGGGGTATCAAAGGAGGAGGGAAGAGCCTTCCCTAGTTGGAAAGCAGCAGTTAATGAATGAATATAGCCTGGAGGGACCCAGGAGGCTGAGTGCTGGACTCACCCTGCAGCCCCTGAGGTCTCTCCCCCTGCACCTCACCATATCTACCTCAGCAGGAGCGAGGGCTCTGTCCTTGCTGGCTGGAGCCCTGGTTCCCCTCAGCTGCTTTTGGAGGGGCTCAGTGACTCGGCAGTGCTGGGATAGAGGGTGGCCCTGCCCTCGAGCTGTTCCTCTCCTGTGGACAGGGCAAAGCATCATTTGTGGCATTTACCAAGCTGTGGTTCTTTCTGACTGGGACAGGACAGCAGTGTGGTGGTTATTTATGACACAAACACAACGTTTCCTTCTGCCTTTCTTGGTTTTTCAGCTGTTTCCACTTCCTCAGATCTTATATTTGGAAGCAACAGTGGGTTAAAAAGGTTGTTGCTGTAGTCAATGTTAGCTTTAGTCTCCTTATTTTCACTCTCTTTGCTCAAGACACTCAATAAGAGACTTGCTGGTTCAATTTCTTCTTTCTGTAGGTTTTTCTTGCCCTTTCTGGGCAAACTCTTTCTGGGTTTGGCTGTTGTACTGTAGCTTGTACCCACAGAGCAGTAACAGGCCACTGGCTGAACTTACCTGCCTGGAAGGCACTGAGCAGGTAAAATGCAGGGATTGAGTTCTGGGAAGCACTGAGGCCCTGCGTGTTGCCAGTCTTGCAATGGTTCCCCACGTTTAAACAAAAAATAAAATGAAGTAAAGTGAACAGTGTTGCACAACAGGAGGGTACAGACCCTCGCGTAAGGAAAGGGATTCCCAGTCCTGACCAGTGCAGTGTTTAGGGCACAGTAGGCAGCTCTGGGCTGTGTTAATGTCACAGCGTGCTCACTTTCTGGTAGATTTGGGTATTTGGCTGTACTTCCCCTCAGATTCAGATGTTTCTTGAGGAAGTACTGGCTTCCCACACCTGAAACACATGTGAGATGCGAGCTCTTCTGGAGCACTCAAAGACCCAGAAAGTGGTCTAGGTCCCTTCTTCCCCCCTGTCTCCTACCTTGCCGGTTAATTCAAAGAATGGAACACTTTTTTTTATCTGTGTTTGGGATAGTTTCTATTCCCAACCTGCCCCACCATCATAGGACCTGCCCCAGAGTACTGCTCTGGTCACAGACACATGAAGATCACTGCGCTGTGGCACTGCTTGATATTCCATTTGTGACCTAATGTTTGTAATGACCAATTCCTGCCACTATGGGGGATTCCCTGAAATAAAGTGCAACTATTCATGTGTGCTATTGTGTGCAGCTATTTATTCTGCTCTGATTCTAGAACCTTCCTCCTGCAAGGGCCGAGACCAGGGCGAGTTCAGCCCACTCACCCTCAACGAGTCCAGTTAATTTTTCACCACCTCCCTCTCCTTTGGCAGAAAAGCCAAAGCTGGAAGCAATACAACTCTACATCAGCCTACAAGGGAAGTATCAAACAATAAGAAACACTTTATTTTAACTTTACAACATATAAATAGACAAATCTGTGCTTTCCGATGGAGCTTTCCTTCCCCCTCCGCTCCGCAGGGTCCTTGTGGCAGTGCCCCAGCCCCTCTGGACTCGGGGAGAAGAGGGGGGCTGAGCTGCAGAGGCCAGACTGATCCACGCCTACAGATCCCGGCCGTCATCTGCTCAGGTCCCGGCTGGTGCCCCGCCCACACAGCATCCTCTCCTCTGCAGAGAGGCCAGCAAAGAAGGGATGCAGGAGGGCCTCTGAGAACGTGATCCTCCGGGAAGGGTCAAATTCCAACATCCTCCTCATCAGGTCAAAGAGCTGGGCGTGCTCCAGCGAGTCGTGCAGCATGTATGTCTGAAAGGGAAGAGCGGGGGGTACAGAGAGGGACTCAACCCAAGGCCCTGAGGTATGGGCTGTCTCCCATTCCAAAATACAGCATCCCTCCACTTCCCTAGTACCCATCCTGCCTCAGCCAGACCAATATCACTGCAGATGCAAGTCTGGGGCTCCATAAGAACCAGTTACCTAGGGCAGTTCCCATTCCCAAGCCCTGGACCCCGATCCGGGGAAGGGAGCAGCACCTACCCGCAGGGGCTTGCAGTTCTCTTGGACATATCTCCCATCGGACGTGTTCTCATCCCATACCAGGTTGCCATTGTGGAAGTATTTCTGCTTCCTGCAAAGGGAGGGTGATGGTCAGCGAGGCAGGGTATCTCCCCTGGTTACACCCATCCCAGGGAGGACAGAGAATTGTTGTCCTGAGTCCTGAACCACAACCAGGGGCCTGGGCTGAGGTCAGGAAGAGGTTCTTACCGAGTTTTGTGGACCATGTGAGATGGAAGCGGCCCGAGGATTTTTTCCATCATGACAAGATGCTCACGATTCTCATGGGTCTGCAAAGGAACAGAGCAATGGTGGGTTAACTCAGAGCTTGGAGAGCTGAGTGCAAAAGGTCTGTCACCTATAGAAGTACAGAGGAGGAAGAGACAAGCCTCCATCAGGAATGCTACAGGTCCTATCCACCTCTTCCTCTTTAGATTTTCCCTTTCTTGAGGGAATAGAAATTACCTGAACCCAGAACCCAGGCTGATGTGAACCCTGTCCCTTCCAGCAAGGCTCAAGTCCTCAAACCATCAGTTTTCCTGGGCTCACTTTCACACTCAGCTTCTGATTTTTAGTGCCTGATCTGCATTTCCCTCCCCTTCACTTAAGTCTGAACCCTTTTGGACATTAGGGATTCTTATGGAACAAGAAGCCTACCTGGAAGAGCGTGAAGCCACGGTAATACTCAAACAGAATGCAGCCAGTGCTCCAGACATCACATGGCTGTGCCCAGCCCAGCTCTGCAAAGAAAATCAAATTAACTGTGTGCTCTCAACAAACCCCACTAGGTTTCTACGTTGTTGGAGCCACAGAGATTACACCAGGACAGAAGTTATCTATCCCAGAACTGGAGGGCTCCTCATCCCGGGACAACTGTTCCCCTCTGCCCCCCCTGACACTCCCCAAAACCCAGCAGTTCTCACCCAGAATCACTTCTGGGGGACGGTAGTGCCGGGTAGCCACGATGGTAGTGTGGTGCTCGTGATCAAAGGTGGCACTCCCGAAGTCTGCCACGCGGATGCTCGTGTTCCGGATGGATTTCTCCTCACAGCTCTGCAAGTAAAACACAAGTCAGGATCAGGCTTTGAGAGGGACCCTCTGCCCCCATAACTGCACCACTCATCAGAGGGATTGTAACTGTGAAGCTCTGAGCTCTCTACAGCCCAGATCAGCGTAAGGAGAACCACTGAGCACTGCACTCCAGGGACTGGAGCCACTGAGGCAGCCTTAAGGCTTTCAAAAGACATGGGAGAAAGAAGAGGCCTGACTTCCCGTTTGTTCCCACTAAAAAGGCTTTTAAGGCCTGTATGAAGCAGGGAAGATCAAATTTCTGTAGGGAGGGAAAGGCAGGCTATTCCTGATGTATTCATTGTTCCTTTGGACAT